GAGGGGGGTGGGGGGGGCAGGGCGAGCAGAGACAGGCGCCTGACGCTGGGGGTATGGCTGAGCGACCCTGGGGCCTCTGAGAAGCAAGAACAACGAGGAAGGGGTCAGCCATGCCGGGCCCACCAGGAAGGACACTGGGAAGAGTGCCAGACTCCCTCCTCACAGAAGGACGCCCACGCCAGCCTCAGCTCAGGTGCCCCTGAGCAGGCAGGCAGGCAGGCAGTCAGTCACATAGTCGAGGAGGACAGAGTGGGCGGCTGGCCCTGGCGAGCTGAGAGGGGGTGACCTGGGCTCCACTTCCAGCTGCTGAGAAGCTTCTGAGATGGGCAGGAGCAGCAAAGGAGCGGCCGCAGCGAGATCTCGCCTCTCCAGCTCCCCTCAGCTGCCCCTCTGGTTATCTGGTTCTGTTTGCTTGTCCAGAAACAGCCCACAGCTTCCTCCTCCGGGAGCACCGGGCCCTCTGGGGTTAGGACCCCTCTTCCCGGACCCATCGCCTCCCAGCTGCCTGGATGGTACCGCCCATCTCGTGCCGCCTGGACTTGGCCCCGCTGGGCTGCCCCGGCCATCCCCCCTCCCTCGAGTCCGCTACGGACATTTGGGATTGTTGTAGGCGTTTAGCGGCATCCCTGGCGACTGCCCGCCAGGCACTGCCCGCTATCTCGGGGTGGGGCCGGGGGCGGGAAGGGTGCAGACCCCTGCTATGACAGAGGGGAGGGCCCAGGGAGCGCAGGCCCTGGGTGCTGCTGCACTCACTCTGGGCAATGCTGGATGCTGTGTAGCTCTCGGCCATGCCCGACACCTGGCTGGCAATGCTGATCTCACTGGCTCGGCGGAAGCCTCGGGTGGCGGGGGCTGTGCCGGGCGAGGAGGGGGCTGCGTGCTCTTGAAAGACTGTGCTGTGGGTCTGGAGTGCGTCCGCTGTGGGTGGACAGGGGCCAGAGAGGCCAGTGGGTAAGACAGGCACTCCTCCTCCAGCTCAGCACCCCCACCCCCACCCCCGGCTCCCTGAGCAGTGGGAGGCAGGGCCCGGTGTGCCCTGGGCTGGGCGGGCAAGGCCGACCCCTCCCACTGCAGACGAACGGTGGCATCTGAGCACAACTGGCAGTGAGGGCAGGCCCAAGCATGCCGGGGCCTGACTGCTCGGGGCTGACAGGGCAGGGTACGGAGCCGGGGCAGGGACGGACAGACGGACCGACACAGACACAACAGGTAGGGAGGCAAGGCGGCCAGGCTCAAGCCCCCCCTGGCCACGCTTCTTACCCAATACACAGCTCCTGATCTCGTCCAGCCCTCCCAGCCTCCCGGGCTCTGCCCGGCCAGGTGTGACCCGCGGCCCCCTGCAGCTGGGTTTGAGGGGCACTTACAACAGGGGCCCGAGTGGTCTCCCAGGGGCACCCAGTGCTGGGCACTGAGGATGAGGCAACACCCCCTGCACGTCTCCCGCATGGGCCACACTGAGCCAGCCCTGCGTGTGTGTCCGGGAACAGAGGCAGGTGCTGAGGGCTCACCTGGGCCCTGGGCTGAGGGCAGGGCAGAGCAGGGAGAGCGGGGCTCAGCTAGAGAACTCACATGCAGATGGGGACTCCCTCAGGGAAGGTAAGGAGTGGGACCCTGAGAATCAAACCCTCCCAGGACCAGAGGTTTCTCCTGGGGAACAGGTGGGATGAGGCTCAAGGTTCCACCCCATCTCCTAGCTGCCCCCACCAGCCTCACAAATGGGAGACAGAGCCCTTGGACTGATGCCCGTGCTAGGTGTCCCTGGGAGAGCCGGTCCCCTCTCTGGGCTCCGAGGCTCCCAGGAGCCTAGGGAGGAGGGGCCGGGACCTGATCCTTAAGACTTGTCCTGTCTGGTCTCTGTGGGATGCCACTAGGGTCCCACAGGCTCCAAGTGGCCAAGGAGGGCATGGGAAAGCCCCTGGGGACCAGCAGTCAGCCAGCGAAGCAGACGCCACCACGAATGGGGGTGTTACACACACTCAGCACAGTCCGGGCTCGGGCGGGGCCCGTCTTGGCAGGTGAGCGCGGGAACGGGGATACTGGTTTCCAGGAAGCCGTCTCCTGGGGGGAGAGGGGCCAGGGGCCCACCCTCTAGGACCAGCTCGGGGTTTCTCTGCACTGTCTCAACTGGAGGCAGACGGGAGAGAACAGACGGGACAACAACAGACACTCTCGTGGGCAGTCCAGACGTGCTCCTCCGACAGACACGTGGGGCTCCTTCAAGACCAGGA